AAAGATAAGAAAAGAAACAGGTTGTGCAGAATGAATCTGAGCCAAGTAAAAGTAGAAAAATTAGTATACACTACACATGAGAGTGGACTGCTATGACAGAAAATAGTAGGCCAGAGCTCAATGACAACTGTCACTTTGTTTCCTAATTCTCAGGCTGAGGTTAAGTCAGGTCTAATTCTCAAGTTCTCAGGAGAAATCCATGTGCAGAGCTTTGAGAAATGTTTCATACCTGTGTCCTGGAATTTTCAAATTAACAGGTCATGCCCACTCTCCCAGACAGCTTGCTCCAACCTAATCTCCTACCTTTAGAAAACTGTGACAGGAGGATTGCTGCAAATTCAAGGCCAGGCTGGGCTATATAGTGAATTCAAAGCAATCCAGAGCTTCATTGAAAGACCTTGTCTCAAAATAAATAAACAGCGAAGCGTGGCCTATAATCCCAGCACTTTGTAGGCTGAGGCAGGAGGATTGTTGTGAGTTTGAGATCACCTGGGTTACAAAATGACCTCAAGGCCAACCTGAACTGCATATTGATATCCTATCTCAAAAAGACCGAAAATAATTTTAAAATTAAAAAAAAAATATTTAAAAGGTGAAAAGATAAAAAGTAAAATAAAATACAAAATAAAAAGCGTTAGGGATGTAAGATGATGTGAAGGACTTGGGTTTATTCCCTAGTACCACAAAGAAAAAATAAATGACTGGCAAATTCATTAAAGTATTATATTTCTCTCAGAAATTCCTCTATCCTTTCCATACTAAATTACATTAAAAATAATGACAATTAATAGGATTCTGAAATTTTAATCATTAAAGCTCAAAAACTTTTGAACTTCTTAGCCCCAAAGAATGGCTACTAGCCCTGATAACAATAAAGTCAAGGTTTCTGAGGATGGACAAACTATCTCCTCGCAAGTTATTAAAAGTCTGCCTCGCTGGGGATTTGGCTCAGCCGCATAAGCGCCTGCCTGATGAGCACGAGGTCGTGAGTTTAACCCCCGGACAAAAAGTAAAATAAAATAAAATAACAGTCTGCCTCATGGCTTTGGGAATTTCATTTCTAATCCTAGATTCTACTATATCACAGGCTAATGTAACTGAATATTCCAAGAGATTCATGCAATATATCCAGATTTATGTTCAACAAGAAAAGTTTCCAAAGTACATATACAAATATCCTCTGCATGGTTTGAAAATTTGGTTCTCTGAAACAGGCAATAAAAATAAAAATTTTCTGATTCTTGTAAAAAAAACTTTTATTGACATTTTAAACAAGCTAATTAGTAAAAGTTCAATGGTTTCATACTTAGATTTTTGAGAGTATATGAAATTTTTGACTTAGAAGATGTTCATCACTTCCCTCTGTGAGAGTGTATATTTATGTCATCACAAGTTCTTGTTTTTAGGGGCTTTTTAAAAAGAACAAAAAACTTTTTTTTGTGGTACTGGGATCTGAACTCAGGGCCTCACATTTGCCAGGCAGCTGTTGCACCACTGACCTACATCCCCAGTGATCAGAAGTTCTTAAATTGAAGATTGGTGAAGATCTTCTAGAAACCACTGACTGTCGAAATGGACAACTTCTTCACAAGACAATACAAACTGCAGACTTCAGACATTTCATCTGAGGTAATGGAACAAAATTACTATTGTTTATTTTTATTTGGCAGTGTGGTGGGAGGAAGCCAGGACTTCATACACTCCAGGTATGACCAATAATCCTGATACATCAACTTCATTGGATTAAGAAAAACTGGCAGATTAATAGAGCATGCTCCAGGAGTGTCTGGGTAGATCGTGGAGGTGTGACCTTGGTCACTATATGTGCTCCCTTGCCCACTTCCCTGGTAGGATTTTCTTGTTCTGCTTCCTAGCCACCATAAACTAAGCAGCTTAGCTCCACTTCTCCCTTTAGCCATGATGTTCCCACTAGGAAGAATGAATGAATAGGCTAAATCCCCTCAAAACTATAAGCTAAATCAAACCTTCCCTCCCTTAAATTGTAAGTATCAGGTATTGTGCCCAGAAATTGGAAAATGTACTAATACACTGGACAAGTGCTCTACCACTGAGTTACATTCCACTCCAAGATTATTTTATTATTCTACACTTTATTTGTCCTTTTCCCTTCTATTAGTATTACCATATACTGTGACATTCTGTGAAACACTAAACGATCTCTTTTCATCCTATTACTGAGAATGTCTATCATTATTTCTTACTATATAAAGAGAAAAAAAGTTCTTTACATTTTTCAGATGACATGCCCAATGCTTTAAGTTGAATTGACTGTTACATATAATATCTTCCACCAGATCTGACTGACAATAATAGCAAGTCCTTTGGATGCTTCAGAAGGCATATCTCCTTTTATAGACCTCTTTTGGCACTTAAAATATCCCTCCTATCACTAATCTTGACCTTTACCACTGTGCAAATAGACTTTGACTTCACATTGACAGAATGTTTCTGTTGGCCTTATAGTATAATCATCCAGGCTAGTTCATCTGAAGACAATAATATTGAGGCATTCTAGACTATAATAATGCATTTATTTATTCTCTTCAAAATTGTCTTCCTACTTTGCTTAACTACTCCTAATTTTTTTCTCCTTCAAGAGACACAACTGTCTTACTCTTGTAGTAGTGATGCAACAGCTAATCGAAACACAGAAACAGCATCCAGAATTTGGAGAGAGAATTGTTTATGCAGTCAACAGGCACTTATTGGGCTCATTCCCAAAATATCAGGCCCCATGCTCTGATGGTCTAGAGCTTACATAGAATAAGCAAGCAGGAAGTACAAAGACAGGATGGCTTATTAATTGGTGATTGGTTCTTACAATATGCATCATAGTGACCAGTTATGTATCACAGTGACCAGCCATTTCTAAGAAACAGAAGCAACCAGAACTGCAACAGGAACTATTTACTGGGCAACTAAGAAACTGAAGTAACACTGGCTGGAGGTGGGAGGACATCTTCTGTTACAATAAGTGAAACCTAAGCTCCAAATACAGCTTATTTCCTACTAGGCTCCTACTATCTATATGGATATTTGGCTTACACTGTTCTACTACACAATATCTTGTGTATTCAGGATAATAGTGAGAAAATTTCAGATGTGTAAAAGAACTACATCTTTCAGCTGGGCATGTTGGTGCATATCTATATTTCCACCACTTGGGAAGCTGAGGCAAGAATATCTTTGTGAATTCAGGAGCAGCCTGAGCTACATAATGAGTTCAAGGCTGGCTTGTACTGCATAGTGAGACCCTATCTCAAAAAAAATTTTTTTAAAGTAGTACATCTTTCTACTCTTTTTCTTTTTTCTGAGTTGGGGTCTTTCTATGTTGTTCACACTGATCCTAAACTCACTACATAGCACAGGTTGGCCTCAAAACTCATAGTAATCCTCCTGCCTCAGCCTCCTGAGTGCTGGGATGATAGGTGCACACCACTATGCTCAGTTTAAAAGTATATCTTTCTGCTCAATCTTGTTTCCCAAGAAAAAAATTACACAAAAACCACTGAAATGCAACACACACACACACACACACACACACACACACATTTAATTAAAAATAAGCAAAAGCTGGGTCCACATCTGTCATCCTACTTGGGGCTGAGGCAGGAAGACTGCAAGTTCAAGCCAGCCTGGTAAACTTTTTAAGACTCTATCTCAAACCATATTCATAAATGAAGTAAATCAAACTCAAATGTATAAATACTGCATTGTCTCTCTAGTGTAAGAAATAGTAAGAGTTTATAAGACACAAAATACTCAGTAAATACTGTGAAAGGTAACAATCTGTTCAAAGGGGGAAAATAATATCTCAGGGAAAAGGAGAAAAAAAAGGAAGGGAAAAGAAAAAATTTCTAAATTTGTACAAATACATTGTGCTACAAATTCTATTAGTTCTTGGAACAAAACAGTTAACACTCATAGGGTTGGAACAACCTATGAGTGTTTTGCATGTTTGTATCTGGTGATCTGAGGAACTCTTTTGAAGATCACTATGTAAAATAACAGCCTTAGTTATGTTCCCACCACCTTGTTTTGAAGGCCTATATCATCATTGTTTTGGGCTCTTTGCTATTGTTATTTGTCTTTTTTGTTCCTTGTTTTTCTAGTAATTTGCTTTGTTTTGTTTTGTTTTTCCTTCTAATGCAGAAAGGATAGGTGTACATACATGCATAGAACTTCTCCTAAACAGTTTACAAGAATCAATTGTATTATACATGATGATATGAACAGCTACTTTGAAGAAAAAGAGACATTATGGTATCCATTGCTGATTCCTGTCATCATGTTGTGAAATCCAGTAATGCTTTTATTCTTTGTTCAGAGTGGTTTTAGTCTGTTTTCTATTATTTAATTTCAACATTCATGAAGGTATGGACAGCTATTTTGAAGAGAACAAGAGACATTACAATAGCCACTGTTGATTTTCCTATTGTCTGGTTGTGAATGCCTGTAATGCCTTCATTACCCTGTTCTGAGCAGTTTTATACTATTTTGTTTTGTATGAATTCATTGTGTGTGAAGATATCGACAACCATTTAGAAGAAAACAACAGACATTAATGGTAGCTACTGCAGATCTCCTGTTGTCTTGCTTTGAAATCTGCGTCACTTACATTATTTTCTTCTGATCTGCTTTGTTGTTTTGTTATGTTTTGCTTTACTGTCTTTAAATAAGTTTTAAAAAGACTGTATCTCAAAATAAAATTTTAAAAACTTAAAAAGACTGGAGATGTAGCATTGGAGTGCTCACCCAGCATGCACAAGGCCCTGTGTTTAAAGAAAACCAAATAACTTGCAGTTGCACAAGTGATATCCATTTGGCAAGTACCAATATGGATCAAAGGCTCACTGCCCAGTATAAACAGAAGCCAATATTACTGAAAAGAGTTTTGGCAATGAGAAAGAGTTTTATTGTACATCCAATCATCAAGCAGGCCAGGAGCTCAAAAAGAGTTTAATAATAATATGGTGGTATTGGACCTGAATCAAGGCCGACAGCTTCCTGATGTTGTTGGTTTCAAGCAGAAGCCTAAAGAGATGTGTTTCTGTGGTCTGTTGGCCATTTCAGAACTCGGGCAATGAAATGGTCAATTCTTTAGAACAAAACAGATTGAAGCACCTCACACACACACACCAGCTGTGAGCATGGCAGGCTGCAGTGGACAGGAGCCACTGGCATTTACTGGGACCTGCACCATGCTGGGACCTGGAACTCTGGGAAACCAAGCAACAACATCCCACCCCACCCCCACCCCCACCGTGAGCAGCTGTGAGCTGGTAGGCTCCAGCAGCCCAGGTCGGGAGCCACCAGAGTTTACTGGAACCTGTGCCATGCGGGGACCTGGAGGGCCTGGAAAGCAAGCAATCCCTACTCCCAGTGAGCAGCTGTGAGCCTGCCTCTTGGCCCCTTGGACTGAGACTCAAACATCACATCTTCAGTGGTGTTATTTTAGCCTGTTTTATTTTGTTGAACTTCAATATGCATGAAAGTATGGACAGCTATTTTGAAGAGAACGAGAGATTCTATGACAGCCATTAGTGACTTCCTTATTGTCTGATTTTGAAGACCTAAAACGTCTGCCTTATTCTGTTCATATCAGTTTTATACTATGTTGTTTTGTATGAATTCTCTGTATGCCAATACATGGGCAACTATTTGTAAAAAACAAAAGACAATGTGATTGATAGTGAAGATCTCAGGTCATCTAGCTTTGAAATGTATATCTCTTACATTGCTTTCTTATGTGCTATTTTGTTCTATTTTGTTGGGTCTAATTTTGCCCTCTTTAAAATAAAAAAAAAATAAAGGAATATGGTGGTATGCACCTATAATCCCAATACTGTGGGAGGTTGAGATAGTAGAATTGCAAGTTTGAGCCCATCCAGGACAATTTAAAAACAACTTGTCTCAAAATAAAAATAAAAAAGGAAAATGGGATAGGCCAATCCCTAGTAATGAAAAAGAAATCAAAATGGCCTCCATGATCAAATGGTAGAAGATGAATTTATAGGAAAGCAGAGGGAGGGCCTGGGATTTAGCTCAATGGTATAAGCACCTGCCTGGCAAGCACAAGGTTGTGGTTTGATCCCTTGTGCCAAAAAAAAAAAAAAAAAAAGAAGGAGAAGGAACCAGGGGTGGTGGCTGAGATTACAGAATCCCAGCAATCAGGAGGATGAGGCAGGGGGATTAATGTGAATTTGAGGCCATCCTGGACTACACAGTGTATTGATGACCAGCCTAAAATGTATAGCAAGAGCCTTTTACAAAAAAAGAAAAAAGAAAAGAAAACAGCAACAACAACAATAAAAGAGAGGGAAGATAGCTTGTTAAATGGACTGCATGCAGAAAAGAAAAGGAAAAGAATTAGGAAAAGAATTATCAAGAAAGCTGTGCTTAGGGGCTGGGGATTTAGCTCAGTGGCATAAGCGCCTGCGTTGCAAACAGGCAGTTGTGGGTTTGATCCCCAGTACTGACAAAAAGGAAAAAGACAAAAAAAAAAAAAAAAAAAAAAAAAAAGCTGTGCTTTTTCTTTTTTTGTTTTGTTTTCTGTACTAGGGGTAGGAGAGTGGAACTCACAACCTCGTGCTTGCTAGGTAGGCGTTTATGCTGCCGAGCTAAACCTCCAGCCAAAACTTGTACTTTTTTATTTTTTAACTTTGTGCTTTTGAAACTGCCTAGCTCTGTAACTGATTCACAGCTTTGTAATCACTTTCTTGAGCCCCATAACTATGAAAATATAACTGAACATGCAGGATGCCTGATTGTACCCAGTTTCATGACCATTAATCCAGCCTTGTAACTGGTGATCCTACCCTGCTAGCTAATCAGAAGCTTGCCAGGCTGTTTTGTCTTGCCTCTTTGCCTTGTTTGTACCATACAGACCATATAAAAGTGCGAGTTTATAAGCCAACAGTACCTGACTTTGTTGGGAGTTATCCCATCCAGGACCACACGTGCAAAAAAAGCTATTCACTGCTGCCTGACTTCTTTGGATATCATTCCTTTCCCAGACTCAGTTTTGCCACAGCAGGACATTTAGGGTTCTCTTGTGCTAGCATAAGGGGTCATAGTGCTGTCTCACAAGTTGCTTTTTTCATTTTGGGAGGAGAGTTATTATGTTCTACATGGGACATTTTGATGTGGTTACTTCTAATGGTCATCAACTGGACTGACTGGTCCCTGAGCTTGCTCACTCTTGAAAAAGCAGTTTCCAAACCATGTTGAGTGGATTCTGGTAGTTTTTCCTGAAAGACTTAAGAACTTTGTTATTCAAGGAATTTCTATCTAGTTGTATGTAGACTATGGCAAATTTCAATTCCATGTTGTATCAGTCAGGATTTTACTAGAGAAAACAGATATAACACAAGATATACAAATGCCTAAGAAATTACAAGGGTAGTTTACAATGGTCAGCCACAGAGTTGGATGAGGAAGCATGTAGAGGGTGTCTGCACACTGAAGGCTAAAGTATTCAATCCAAGGTCTAGTGACTCATGCAAGTCCACACCAGCAGGCTGATGGATCTGTGACAGAAGGCCAAAGGCTCGATGATGAAAGACATAGACTCTATGGAGAAAAGCTGAGAGTCTACACTGGAAGCCAGCAGATGAGGTCCAAACCAAAGGTGAAGACAGGACCTTCTCCAAAGAATGGGATGCATTTGTCCTTCTTCCTTCCCTTTTATATCTCTCTGTGATGAGCCACCCTATGGTGGGTCTTCTACATCCTTGGGTGTAGAGTTGCTAGACCCATTTAGTTAAACTTCTAAAAAGTTTTTTTCTCCAGAAAGCTGAAGAGTCTACACTGGAAGCCAGCAGATGAGGTCCAAACCAAAGGTGAAGACAGGACCTTCTCCAAAGAATGGGATGCATTTGTCCTTCTTCCTTCCCTTTTATATCTCTCTGTGATGAGCCACCCTATGGTGGGTCTTCTACATCCTTGGGTGTAGAGTTGCTAGACCCATTTAGTTAAACTTCTAAATGTCTCAAGTTGACACAATCAATCAACCACTACACAGGTCATTTGCAGTTCACTCATTAGGGATGATACTACTGGCAAAAAGGTCCAAAACACTTCTGGAATCCTAACAAAGATCACAAATAACCCACATTTAACTGTAAAGGAAAAACAAGGGAAGCTAAATTCATCCAAAAGTGTTACAGATAATCATGTAGTCCTTGATTACTTCCTAGTTAGTCAAAGAGGGAGTTTATGCTATACCAAACACTTTCCTGCATTTATATACTACAAAACAAACTGGGAACTAAGCTAAATTTTTTGTTGCTGTTATGCTGCTTCAAGTCCACCCTCTGCTTTGATAAGATTCCATAGTGAGATAATACCATGTGCAGAGTCCCAAACAGAGGGAGATGAATTCCCCTGTCCCAACAAGAAATTAAGATGAGAAGAAAAAAATCAAACATAGAGTCCCAGTGCTACTACTGGAACATCTAAAGACTCAGTGCTTCCGCCACAGTGCCCAAATCCAAGCTGCAGCCACTTAGCAAGCAGTCCGAAATCCCACCACTTTGACTCATTGGAAATGCAGTCACTCTGAGGTTGGGGATCGGTGAGCCAGAGAGCTGACCTAGTGGGGAACCTGCATCCACCTGTGGTGAGTGATGGCAATAAAACCATTCCACAGAGAAGGGGGCTCCAACAGACAACATTCTGAGACTGGGCAGAACTGGCAGGAATGAGGGGCAGAAGTGACTTCAGTCAGTTGTTCCCTTCCCAAATGGGATTGGTGGAGTGAGCTTGGACTGCATCATGCAACCTGGCTGAGACCCAATAGGTTGTCTGAAATCAATTCCCTATGGCAGCGGCACACACTAACACAGTGAAGGCCTCAGCAGGTTGACTGACCCGGAAGGGAGGGGCCAGCATACACTGCTCCTGGGAGTGCACACTGCAATGGGAAGGGTCACCTAGCCAGCATGCTTCAGAAGAATTGTAACCAACAAAGAAAGAAACTGGGGCTTCCTGGAAGAAACAAAAAAAGATGGGAAGAGCAAGCAACAAGAAAAAGTCCCAGGTCCCAAGCCTGAGAACATTGACCCAGGACAGGTAAATGCAAAGGAGAATGAGGACAGAAAACATGCAATATCAGACACAGCACTAGTGGACATAAAGAGGTATCTTCGGGACATAGACAAGTTCAAAAGGAAAATATTTAACCAAATAAAGCAAGATATAAGAATAATAATAAAAGAGATGCTAAGCACCCCTCAAGACACAGACGAAAAATGGAGGAACTCAAACAAAGGAGAGAACCATTTGATGAAGAATATAAAGAAAATATAGAATACATGCAGCAGATTCAAAGAGATTACCAGGAAATTAAAAACTCTATGGAAAGATGGCAAAACTGATTGAAAAAACTAAGGATTGACTATCCAAACTGGAGGACAGTTTTGCAATGTGGGATTACGAAAGGAAAAACTTTTTTAAAATAACAAGGAAACAAGCAGTAACAATACAAAGGCTAGAAGATGACAAGAGGATCTATAACTTGAGAATAAAGAATGTGAATGAAGAAGCAGGGGTACAAACAAAAGAACTACAAAGGCTATTCACAGAAATAATTAAGGAAGGAAAAAAAGAAATAATTAAGGAAAACTTCCCAAACATAGGAGAAGGAAATGATATGCAGATGTATGAGACATACAGAACTCTAGCTACCTACAATCAAAACAGAGCCACACACAGGCATATGATAAGATCTGAGAAATTCAATATAAGAACAGAATATTAAAAGCTGTTAGAGACAAGAAACAGATCACCTATAAAGGAAGGCCTATCAGAATCATGGCAGACTTCTCCACACAAACCATGAAGTCAAGAAGAGCCTGGAGCAAAATATTCCAAGCCCTGAAAGAAAATAATCTCCAGACCAGATTGATATATCCTGTAAATCTATCTCTAGAAATTAATGGAGAAATAAGATGCTTCCAAGACAAAGAAGAACTTGGGAAATTCACAAACACCAATCCAACTCTACAGAGAATACTGCAGGGCATTCTAGAGAGAGAGAGAAAAGTACTAGGATTCTAGGAACAGTGGCAGAGAGGCCTCAATGAATGGAGCAGAAAACAGAATGAAGAAGACAAG